TTTATGTTTTGATATTAATTTAAAATAAATATATTTAACGTCTTTAGTTAATTTATGTCACTCTAATAAATTTAATTTATATATAATTTAAAGTGAATACATATTACATCGATACAAATAGTAATAAACATAAGATTACCAAATTTATCGATTATGATATGTATCGATATATAATGCATTACGATAAACTCGATAATCAGATATAAATCGATATATAGCAAATAATCGATATATATCGTTTTAAAAATAACGATATATATCGATTATTTGCTATATATCGATATTAATCTGATTATCGAAGTCTATCAATTTTAGATAATAATCGATATATAACATTTTTATCGATATATATTGATATATTTTAAACGATATATATTGATTATGTGCTATATATCGATTTATATCTTTATATAAATTTTGCTGATGTTTAGCTATTGTAATAGATGAACAAACAGTTGGCAGTTGGGATAAACTCGATTTTGTTGAATTATAGTAAGTCAAGACTTCTTAAGTTACTTTTAGTTCAAAGCAGTTTTAATTATATTTTAATTAAATTTAATAATAGTAATGAGGATTCGGCTATAATAGTTAGTGAACCAAAAGTTGGCAATTGGAATAAACTTGATTGTAATAAATTATAGTAAGTCAAGTTTTGAATTACTTTGGTTTAAAGCCGTTTCAAAGCCGTTTTAAACATATTTTAATTAAATCTAATAATAGTAATAAGGATTCGGTTATAATAGTTGGTGAACTTGATTGTAATGAATTATAATAAGTCAAGTTTTGAATTACTTTGGTTTAAAGCCATTTCAAATAAATTCTAATCAAGTTTTAATAAAAGTAATAATTATTCAGCTAATATAATGAATGAACTAGCAGCTGAGCAAATATTTGGAAGTTGGAATGAACTTGACTGTTTGATATCTTTCTATGCAAAATCACAAAATTTTGTAAGTGTTATACGTGGGTCAGAATACAGTAACGGGATTTGTCAAAGCCACTGATATGCTTGTGAGCATCAGAGTCATAGTGGTATAAACAAAACTAGCATTGCTAAAAATCAATGACAGACATGAAGTAAACACATTAGATGTCGCTGGCAAATTCATGCTAGTTGTCCTAAAATGACAGGTGTATTAAGGATTAATTCAGTCTGTTTGAATCATAATGATCACCAAATAAGGGATGAAACTAACAAGTTTGCTATGAAATACCAGAAATTTTCTGAAGGCATGCTAAAAAATATCAAATTTTGGACTGAAGTCAGAAATATCAATATGAGAACACAATATTAAATGTTAGTAAAGCAATATTCAGATGTTTTCTTTTTGCCTCAAGATCTTTCAAATGCTATCCAGACCTTCAAGCAGAAAAATAATGTTGAATATAAGGCGGCCACCTTACTTAATAATCTTTTGGAGCGTAAAGCCAAAGACAGTAAGTGGATTATAAATTGGAAAATTGATCCTGCCAATAATTGTTTTATCTCATTATTTTGGATATTATCCAATCAATATGATTTATATATACGATACTGAGATGTTGTTTAACATGATAACACTTATTTAACAAACTGTTTAAAATGGCATTAGGCTTTTTTTTAATAGTGGACAATAACAATAGGTCATGTTTAATAGGACAAGCTCTTATGAATGATGAAATAACTGAAAGCTATGAATGGGTTTTTCAATCTTTAATAACAAATACCAATGTTGCACCTTTAACATTAATAACAAACAATGATCTTGCTGTTAATGCTACTATTGCCAATATTTTGCCTAACATATATCACGTTCATTGTATATTTCATGTAGGGCAAAATTTAATAAGAAATTTAAAAGGAAAATTAGATGCATGTTATGCCGAATTTTCCAAACATTGGTATCAAATGTGCAATTCACTTTCATATCAACAATTTGATTTTCTATGAAATAAACTTTTAACAAACTTCCCAGATACTGCATCATATTTTAATCATGCTCTTCTTAATGAAAAACAACATTGGGCTCTTTGTTATATTTCTAAAATTTTTACTACTGGCATGCAGTCTACACAATAAGTTGAAGGTCAAAACACTATTATTAAGAACTCAGTGAATAGCAGTACATCTTTAATTAATCTTGAAAAACATATTAATGAACAAATTAATCATGTATCCACTTTGGTTCAATATAAAAACTGAATTCATTCTATTACTGAGTCAATGCTTATTTATGCTAGTTTGGAATTTTTACCCAAAATTGACAAATGGATTACTACTTATTTAACGCCAACTTCCTTATCTATGCTGTAGCAGGAAATTGCCCAGGTCATATGATATACGTCACAATGTATTGATAACTTTCAAGAGTTGGGATTGCAATTTGATTTAAATAAACAGTCCAATTTAACTAAACAAACTGATCAGTTTGATTCAAATGAGGATTTTAATACTTTTATTGATGATTGTATTGATATACTCGCTATTTTGGTTAAAGAGTTAATACCACCTACAAAAGTTGAATCAATTCGTGAAGTTTGGGAAGTTACCTGGCATAGGCGTAATAAAAAAACTATGTATTATTGTTTCAAGATAATTCATATTTATGTACATGTTTCAGCTTGGTTCAGTGTGGTTTGGTTTGTAGGCATTTTTTCAAAGTTATGACTATGTTCAACTATGCTGCATTCCATATTATGCTTATATCAAGGAGGTGGTATATAGACGAAAAGCAAATTGAATATGAATCACAAACGTGGCAACATCCATTTATTATTAGATTGAGTAATTCAAAGACTTCTATTAGTGTTGAACAAACTTTTCCTGATTTATCTTTTCAGTTACCAGATATTTCTTTTAGTGATATTCATGCTAAAGTTAATTATCATAAAGCCTATATAACAGCAAATGGATTATCAAAAAAGGCTATTCAGATCAGATTAGATGCTGGAACTTATGCAATACAAGAGCTTGAGAGCTTTATGAATGAGTTTATTAATAAGTATGCACCAAAAAACAAAAAAAAAATAAGTCGAAAAAGAAATATAAGCCAACAGGAATATGATGATGAAACTACAAGTTCTAGTTTCAGTGACAAAGAAAACTTCATCGTAGTTGAAAATCTGATAGTATATCCAAAGAAGGGTGGTCCAAGAAAAAAGCGGTTTAAAGTGTCTAATGAATTAGAAAAAAAGTATGTATCTGGTACTAAACAATACTTGAAAATACAAAAGATCAGAAAACAAACACAATGTTAACAATGTCAAAATACTGAGTATAATGAGCCAGTTGTGAAGCATGGCATAAACGATAAGGTATTCCATATTCATATTGAAAAAATAGTTGCATGATTAGATTGTTTATTACATATAGATTGCTGAAGGATTAATAAGTAGTATACTAGATTGTATATCCAAGCATAATTAATTTTTGCTTAGTTGTGTACAACTTAGTGTATTTATTTCTTGCTTCATTATATTATCATATATTCAATTAGAAGTATCGTGCAAATAGTTACGCTGTTAAAGTTTTTCAACACTTTGTGAAGTTAACTAAAAAATAGGATAGATTCTATAATGTAGTGATCTCATACATTATTGTATCTAGTAAAGGCTATTGTACTATACATATAATTATGTATATAGAATGCATATTACTTGATTGAATAATATGTGGGCAAATAATTATTACTTATTTAAAGGTAAGTAGGTGTTCACCATTTATTAGTGTCAAAATAATTTATAGTTTATTTCTTGTTCCTGTGACGATTTCTATTTATATAATCCATGTAAATATTAAGTAATGTTTATCTGATAATTTATAATAATGATCGATAGAGAGTCGTTGGCAAAGTTTTAATCTGAGTAAACGAAACAACAGAGACAATGCCTGATTCAGAGTGAATCTCTCTTCAGTTTTAATATACATATAAGATTAATGGTCTCTGGTGTGCGAATATTTGTAAGACAAAAAAATCAAGTGTGAAAATAGTACATATGTATGTATATGGTATGTACTGTACGTATGTAATCACATGAATAAAAACTAGATTCTATATCAATATAATGCAGTTGCTACTTAGTTCACCAGTAATTTATTCTATAGACTATTTGACTTCATATAGTGATAGTATTAGGGTTAGATTGGTAGCTATTCTGTGCAATAAGATTAGAGTTAGATTTTTAGTTATTCTGTACAGTAGGGCTAATGTTAGATTTTTAGTTATTCTGTGCAATAGTCAGGAAATAAGACACAGTATAATCACATAATGTGGCAAATTGTTATTACAATATTATGTAAGGCATACTATTATACAATATAATAACTATGTATATAAATATAGGTCACATGATGTGGGTACATATACTTTCAGGTACATATATATAACTCTATAAATTAAATTTATATTAAATTTATATATAAACTTAACTATGATTTTCTTAACAACTACTAATTCAAATTAAATAAAATTTTAACTATAATTATTAGAGATTTATTTTATAGTACTATGGCATTATAGTGCTAGAGTATTGTGACCAATTAAAATTTAAGATCAGATGTAATATGCAAATCATTTTTTGTATAACAAAAATACTAAATTTTTAAAAATTTAATTATATTTTAAAATTTTGACTAAAAAATCATCTTTTGTATATTAATAAAAAAAATTTCTTGCAAAATTTTAGTATATGTTATGCCTTGCCCAATTTTAACTTAAATTTTAATCTAAATCTAATAAAAGTTTTATTTTTTATAAAAAAAAAGTTTGTTTTGATTTATATATTATACTAATTATATGTATATATATAGAGTAATACTATAATACTATAGCATTATAATAATATTCTTTAATTATTAATAATATTTGACTATAATATATTAAAATTTTATCTAATTTGCATTAATGAGTTTAGAGAAATTTATTAAATACTATAGTTAATTTTTTTAAAAAACTATATATAGTATTATTATAGATTTTTAACTAATTTCTTTAAAACTATTAATTTAATTTAGCTAATATTTTAATATTTAGAAGCCCTATATCATATCAATATACAGTTCAAATTTTATCCAATTTGGATTAATATTTGTTGAGAAAATCATATATGGATCATATATAAATTTATATATTTTGAAAATTTTTTATATAATTAAACTAAATTTATATTAAATTCTAAAAATAATTTTTTCAATAACTACTAAACCAAATTAAATAAAATTTAATTTATATATAAATATGATATAATACTATATTATATTAAAATTTTAGCTAATTTAAATTAGTAGAACTTGAGAAAATACCTATATACTATAAATATTTTTTTAAAAACATAAAATTTAAAAAAGTGGCAACTTAGTGAAGTGAATAAGTTGTCATCCTCTCAAGTGATAAGTTGTGAGTTCAAAATCTACTGATAATAAAATTTAGATAATTATCTTTATAATATATAGACAATATTATGATAATGATATTCTGTTGATCAGTTAAAATAGGATACTTGTAACTATAGTCACATCAGTATAATTGACAGGTTTGAGGCATTTGTGTAACTTGTTACACAGAGAAATACAAACTGTTACCAGATAGTACAAACCTAAAATAAGTCTTTGGGTTATATAAATCTGTAGAACTAAGAAGCTAAGCCTACTTGGAAATTCTGAGCAAAGAGATAATACAGATCTTTGACAGTACTACTGTAAAGACTAGTCCTAGGAAATAGATACCAATGTAAAGGAATCAGGCAGACAAGAACCTTGAGTAAGAGATACCACCAATCAGACCATTGAATTTTAGACTAAAGAAAAAAAATATTAGACTGACCTTAATATATCAAGAACAGATTACAGTTCTTCTGAGCTATCTGAATTAGAAGTCTAAGATCAAAGTAGAGGTATACTAAAAATACTAGAGATATGCTATGAAGTCAGTACTAGAGTCTAAATGAACTGTAAAGGTAGCTCTTGTTAGTGTTCTAAAAATAGGTAAATAGTTAACAATAAAGGGCTCTTTGTACCTTACTGGCAGATAACATACTCTGAAATATATAATAGCCTAAAAACTAGTACAAAAAGGTAAATACTATACTGCTTAAATGGTATATAGGTTAGGTAAATACAGAGAGTTAGTTAGAATTACATTATGATAAGATAGATGATTAGAAGATTTAAATAGATAATCTCTTAGTAGATTATAAGTATAATATTTAATGTAGAACTCTAAAGCAGATCACTTAAATAGACAACCAAAAGTTGTACATATGACTAGTTGTACTTTTATCTCTGTTAAAATAGTTGTAATAACTAATCTAATAAAAAGTTAATAAAATATTATCACAAAGTATAGCCTTTAACAAAAAAAAATAAAAAAAAAATATAAAATTTGATTTTTATGCAATTACTTAAAAACTACAAATCCAATTTAACTAAAATTTATATATCTTTTGACCCTATCTTAGATTCATTTATAGTAAAAATTTTAGCAAATTTAAATCAGTAAGTATTGAAAAAATTATTGCTAGAAGTAGGCAATTTTTTATATATTTTTGAATCTTTAATTTTGTATATTTTTTATCAAAATTTCAAAATTCAGTATTTTTTTTATAAAATCAATTAATATAATCTACTAATATATTTTTCTAATATAAGATTATGCCTAGAATCAAATTACCTAAAGCATAAAGATAAAATTAATTAATAAAATTATAAGAATCTTGAGATTTCAATAATTTTACTAATAAAAATATAGAAAATCTTATGATTCTTAAATTTTTACTAATTAATTTTATTTTAATACTCTAAATAAATTTGTTCTACATATAAAATTACATTATACCAGTATATTAAATTTTATATTTCTTAAATTTTAAAAAAATAATCCTAAATTTTGATTTTTTTAATCAAAAAATCTAAAATTTGATATTATTTTTTTTTTTTTTTTTTTTTGTTATGCCAAAATAGAAACTTTATTAAGTCATATTTCAAAAGAAATATGTGTTTTAAAAAACAACACACTAGGTCATAGACCTAAAACCGCTAAACTAATCTGTAAATATCTAAAATGTATCTAGATTGTTCATAATTATTT